TCGACCTACATCGAGCAAATCACCATTCGTTTTTCGTTCCTTTCGACGCTTTGTCAGCTTTAAAAGATCTTCTCATCTTGGTGGCCGTGTTCCCGGCTTCCCCTGCCATCATGTGCTTTCGGTATTTGGGGGCTTCACTAGGCGACTTTCGTCGATTCGTTGACAAAATCTCCACCGTCTTAATTTGGTTGGTTGCGTTGCTGCCAGTCGTCACTTCAGTAGAATATCATAATCCCTGTCTTACAGCAGCATTTGAAACCGGGCCATCACACTTTCCTAATGAAGATCCTGAAATCTTCATTTCTGTTGATTCCAGTTTTCTGCTTTCAGTTTTTTAAAGTGTTGCCGTCTCCATGCAATACGGAATGATGTTAAGAATGCAAACTCTCTATAAGCTCAGCGTTGTGCTGTTGTCGACATCTGCCCTTCTAAAGTCCGAATAACTTGCTGCTTGCTGCCAGTCCCAACGCAGCACCTCTTAACTTCTTTTGTCCCTCGTCAGTCCGCTGCTCATACACTCTCAATAAGCAGATGTTACGGTATTTTTAATACAACGCTCGTGTCAAGGTTCAGATACACGGTGGTCTGAGTTGGAGTAGTTACGGTCTATTTTGACGTAAGAGGTTAAATATGAGGGATGAAATCGAAACCAAGATCAATGCCTCACCATATGTACCTCGAAAGATGGGCAGCGTCGGTGCATGATCAGATGAGGTGAACATCTCAACATCCGCAAATGCGCTTCTCAGGTCAGCCATCAGCCACTAATATTTTGCAATGTTGGCCGAAATTCGAATGGGCCACTTTTTGATCGCCGCTTCCCAATTAACTCGATTCAGTAATGAGTTAACGATCCTACATTTTACAGTAAAACTGCCCCATGCTTAGCATGTGTTTTTTAAGAATTAAGGAAGCTTTTTTGGCATCTTTTCGCTCTCTCTGTATGTTCGACAGAATCGTAACCAGCACGTATGATGGACAGGTAAGTTGTGCGTTAATTGTGTTGTTCTGATGGGATCCCGCTTTTTAAGCTTACATAATGGATTATGATTTTCCTGATGATGATGAATCGGCCAGCGTGCACTCTTTCGGTTCACAGAGTTGATTCTTTTATCATTAGATCGATATCAGTATCAACGGATAATCGAAAATATGCTTAAGGCATTTGAATACCCAATGACCGGGTATATAATATTCGTTCAGTTTTATATTTATACCCAAATTTAGGCCACTAACGTAGCCCACTGTTTCACTTCAAACAGACTCAGGGAATTTCGAAAGTGTGCGTGACTTTCGAGATGCCGTTAGAGTAAACATCTTTCCTTTGCTGAAAACGTTCAAGCTTAATTTTGTTCGTTAAACTTGGCTGAATTTCATACAGGTTCGAAATTTATAATCGATTACAGATTGAGAATCAGACGGCATGCATAAACTACCCCGCGAGGCATTGATAGGTTCTGTTTACTCATGTTCCATGGCTTGTATTTGCATGCATTTTACAGAATGTCAGAGGGTTGTTGTTGAGTCGTCGTCATCGAAGGGAGACGAATAACTCAGATTTATGATGTCCTACCTTTATGGGCCAGAAATTATGAAATATTGCTACTATGATATGTTCAGAAATTTTAGAAATTAAGAGTATTATATTCAACTCTGGCTTAGGATGTGCTCTGCTTGAGTCCTGAAGCCGCAAATTCATCGAAACCTTTCATAGGCATAATTGACTGGTTTAAACCAATAGCTAAGTACGTAAAGCATAACGACGCCTGGAAAAGCGGAAAGATTGGCACGTGGCACAGAAAGAAAACGCAAAACAAAGGATCGAAAATCCTGAGAGCTGTTTTTTATTGCCGCCAAATATCTGCTCAGGGAAACCAAACAAACATCTCTTGTAATTTCGTTTCACCTGAATTATTTAGATGGAACTATTTTAAAAATAGATCCAATATCCATTCACGGTAAACTCGCCACCTCTTCAATATTGACAGTTTAAGTAATAATGCGTTGCATTGCAAATGATATTCCAAAGTCTTTCTGCTGCAAGATTTGAAGATTAATTCAGTTCACCCACTTGGTGATTGGTCACCATAAGTGGATGAGACACATCATTGCCTGATTAGAAACGGTTTTCATGACAAAAATTATGCGAAACCTCTGTTCAACTCCGGACTCATTCTTGTGCATGGAACTGGGGACTTTTTCGGTGATGCGTGAGTGAAATATGCCTCGGTGCCTTAACTTCAATTCCGCGCAGCACAATCCTTATGGTTGCAAGAACCGGTGACTTTAGTTAGCAACCATAACGGAGGAGGGTGCGACGCAACGAGGTTGGTAGTTTGTTTTGCATTCTAGCGACACTTAGTTCCACCCCGACGACGTACGGTGAAAATTTTCTCTTATCTAACAGCTTATTTCATAGAGCAAGAAATTCGCCTCCTCCTCCTCCTCCCCGCCTCCCCCCCCGCCCCCGTACTTCGATGCAACCAATCGAAATACGAACAACTTGTAATTGGACTGACTGTTCCTCAGTAATAACAGGACCATGGTGCTCTGGCGTGGTGAAGTTACAGGTTTTGGGATACAGGATCATGCTGTCTGATACATGCGCCTTGCGGCTCCAGTTCATGCTGATCACGTGTTAACTGATTAATCATCAGCACAAGCTATAATCCGTAAATTATCAGAGAAAACATGGGAACTACAGTATCGCATGATCCAATGGACATTTCGAAATTGACGCCCTGCCACTTGCAGGTACCTTTGATTAGGAGTAAGCGCAAGGACTTCACCCTTCCAACGGGTTGACTGACCCACCTTTTTAACTATCATCATTTCTCCCATACCCTGGTGGAACAGACTACCGGTGATTAGCTAACGTATGCCCGTGATTTCCAAAAGTTTTGAAAACTTGTTCTTCCAACGACAACGTACCTCAGTGACGAAGAAATGTAAGACACAAGAATATAGTGGCATGAAGCTACCTTGCTTTCCAGTTGTTCGGTTAGCTGCAAGCAACTTGAGGATCCATAGGGACAGCTGAAGTTTTTAAATCACTGAATAAAAACAAAACTCGACCTCAGAGGGCTTTCTTGCATACTGCTAGTTTTCGATACTTCCGGTAAGAAAATATTATTTGTTATTTTGATAACGGATTGCAACGCGTAACAATAGCACATTCCTTTTGCTTCTGGCATCCTAGGGAAGCATTTTAGCAGGCCAAACACGATTCCATGGGCACCTGCAGTGCATGGATGCAAAACCGCATTACATTCTATAAGCAGCGGTATAGAGAACTGGCGCGATGCCAGTAAATCGACAAAATTTGATTTATTTTTATGTATCAAGTATGCCTCAGATAATGGCATATCGGAAGGTGTCCAAAGAGGCCTTTGTTCGACGCTTCCCCCTGATGCGGTTTTTTATTTATGCCTTGCAGGTGCTCCAATTCCACAGAACCGCGGATTGCTTGAATGGTCCCCTAGGGCGCTAGACGCAAGGAGAAACTGCTATTATTAAGCCGTGTGAATTCGGTATCAAAATAGAGAATATTAAAATCCTTTACGATGTACTTATTGTGAGAGTAATATGCTAGCTTATTTGTTTGTTCAGTAGATGTTGTTTGCTACTTTTGATTATCTGTATCACCAACACTTGTAGGAAGTTACATTTTACTTAGAGAATTATAAGACTACAGTGATCGTTCGCTATTTGTTTAAATTACTCATTTATCCAATGCAGTCATTCATTTAGACCAAGTCTGAGGAAGTTTCCTATGCAAAAATCGTTCAGTGGTAGAAGTCAGATTGAGGGCATTGCGCCCCTGCCTTCATCACTGCTACGTCATGATATCATCAGATGGGGAAGAAGCATGCGGCAGCACCCTCGGTTATTCACTCGGAGCAGTCAGGTTCCTACCTCAACATACTAATGCAACTATCAGTTTAAAGTGGCAGGTGACATCATCACTGTGAAGAGTGGACGGTTGACAGAAAATATACATTATTTGAAAAACTTCCTGAATCTCTCCACTTCTAACAGTCTGTTGTATCACTAAATTCTCAAACTGGCGGAATGAAACTACCATATTTACACTTACTCACGACAGCGACAGCGTCATTGTCACTCGCACCTCGTTCACTTATGGACTGTCACAAATCAGACGATTCTACGACGCAACGGCAGCATCAAGCCATCTCACATTCAGTGGACAAACTCAAATGAGTCTTCAGTCCAACATGCTTGGGCATCAAGCATGTTCTATGAACCGATTAGTCCATTTTTTTCGATTATGATATTAATTGTGTTTATCTTCAGCCAACTCGTTTTACGTCATGGAACGATTCCTCTTGGTTGATGAACGGAACCATTTCGGCACTGTCCATCAACGACATCATATCTGAGACTGAACGGGCGTTAAGACGTCAGTAAACGGGAGGATCCTCGAGCTTCCGAATGCAGTTTTAATCTTGGTTGTTGTGAGACCTCGTGCCTCATCATTATTGTTTAAGGTCACTTCCATATGGCAGCACTTTCTGCACCTCACCTATCAACCTTGATAAGATGCGACGATCTCGCAGGTTCGTTGCCAT